TGGACGGGGCCATGTACCGTCAAATCTTGGGTGAGAACCTCCTTCCCTCAGCCAGGGCATTGAAAATGGGTCGTGGATGGGTATTCCAGCATGACAATGACCCAAAACACACGGCCAAGGCAACAAAGGAGTGGCTCAAGAAGAAGCACTTTAAGGTCCTGGAGTGGCCTAGCCAGTCTCCAGACCTTAATCGCATAGACAATCTGTGGAGGGAGCTGAAGGTTCGAGTTGCCAAACGTCAGCCTCGAAACCTTAATGACTTGGAGAAGATCTGCAAAGAGGAGTGGGACAAAATCCCTCCTGAGATGTGTGCAAACCTGGTGGCCAACTACAAGAAACGTCTGACCTCTGTGATTGCCAACAAGGGGTTTGCCACCAAGTACTAAGTCATGTTTTGCAGAGGGGTCAAATACTTATTTCCCTCATTAAAATGCAAATCAATTTATAACATTTTTGACATGCGTTTTTGTGGATTTTGTTGTTGTTATTCTGTCTCTCACTGTTCAAATAAACCTACCATTAAAATTATAGACTGATCATTTCTTTGTCAGTGGGCAAACGTGCAAAAGCAGCAGGGGATCAAATACTTTTTTTCCCTCACTGTACAAGTAGTAGTATATAATATACATGTAGTAGTATATAATATACATGTCGTACATAATATACATGTAGTAGTATAAAATGAAAGGGTGAGGCGTAAGCCTGCACAGCATGGGACGAGGCACTTGAAGGCTGAACTGAAAATAAAAAAAATAATGTAACAAATGGGTTGACTGAAGCCGCGCTTCCAGACCTAGGACTCGCTCACTTCCAGTGTGTGGGCAAGTGAAGTGGCGAATGTCTGAATCGTCGGTCCTGGGCCCTGCGCCTGCGTTGACTCAGCCTTGAAATGAGTCGTCGGTGCGGTGCGTAATAAGCATCGGCACTGGGAAGACAGAGGCGGCCGGGCGTGTGGCTGGCCAATACCGAACGGAACTCTGGTGCGGTGCCCGCTTTCACCGCGTGTCTGTACCACTATACGGGGGATTTTGATTTAAAGCTTTCGTGATTGCAGTCATTCATGTTCTTAGCTCTTTCGGTGAAGTCACGTTGAAGGGAAACAATAAAATAATAAAATATATAAAACAAAAAAAAATTCTCACGACGTTTCGACCATAACACAAACGGTCATCATCAGGTGTGAAAAACCAACGGCAAGAAACATTTGAAAGAAGTGGCGGTTTGCATTTGTGTTATGGTCGAAACGTCGTGAGAATTTTTATTGTTTTATATATTCTTTATTATTTTATTGTTTCCCTTCAACGTGACTTTACCGAAAGAGCTAAGGATATACGGGGGATGTTTGTCTTAATTTTCGACTTAAAACTTTCGTGACTGCAGGAATTCATATTCTGGGGTTCTTTCGGTTAAAGTCACGTGGATAGAAAAAATAAAAAAAATAGTGATTAAAAAGTGAAACGTAGTGATAATTGTATTCACTCTTATTCGTCTAAGAATATTTTTCCTCTCTAAGTTACTTTACCGAAAGAACCAAAGAAGATGTTTGTCTTTATTTATTTTTTGCACTGATAAATAAACATCTCATGTGTAACCTTGATAACACATACGCACGCATGCTCAATGTTTGATTTATTTTACGAAAAAATATTGACACAATTTGTTTTATTTAATGCGTTCTATGCTTATAATCATCCCTTGTCAGGGCTGCTACAATTTGTGAATTGCACATCATCATCATCATCAACCTCCTCTGTGCGGCCCTCTTGGCTCTGCTCACGACGAGGTCTTCTCTTCATTTAGTTTTGCGTTCTTCGATGTTTTGTCATTCCAAATCGTCTGCACATATGTGTGTTGAACTTCTTTCACACCGTACGTAGCCAACCATGGATATTCGGAGGTGCGGGGGAAGGACAACAAACTATGGGTCTCTGTGTGAGTCTGTGGGTCTCTGTGTGAGTCTATGTGTCTCTGTGTGAGTCTATGGGTCTCTTTGTGAGTCTATGGGTCTCTGTGTGAGTCTATGTGTCTCTGTGTGAGTCTATGAGTCTGTGTGTGAGTCTATGGGTCTCTGTGTGAGTCTATGGGTCTGTGTGTGAGTCTATGAGTCTCTGTGTGATTCTATGGGTCTCTGTGTGAGTCTATGTGTCTCTGTGAGAGTCGACGGGTCTCTGTGTGAGTCTATGGGTCTCTGTGTGAATCTATGGGTCTCTGTGTGAGTCTATGGGTCTGTGTGTGAGTCTATGGGTCTCTGTGTGAGTCTACGGGTCTGTGTGTGAGTCTATGGGATCTCTGTGTGAGTCTATGGGTCTGTGTGTGAGTATATGAGTCTCTGTATGATTCTATGGGTCTCTGTGTGAGTCTATGTGTCTCTGTGAGAGTCGACGGGTCTCTGTGTGAGTCTATGGGTCTCTGTGTGAGTCTATGGGTCTCTGTGTGAGCCTATGGGTCTCTGTGTGAGTCTATGGGTCTGTGTGTGAGTCTATGGGTCTCTGTGTGAGTCTATGGGTCTGTGTGTGAGTCTATGGGTCTATGTGTGAGTATATGGGTCTGTGTGTGAGGCTATGAGTCTGTGTGTGATTCTATGGGTCTCTGTGTGAGTCTATGTGTCTCTGTGAGAGTCGACGGGTCTCTATGTGAGTCTATGGGTTTCTGTGTGAGTCTATGGGTCTGTGTGTGAGTCTGTGGGTCTCTGTGTGAGTCTATGGGTCTCGGTGTGAGTCTATGGGTCTGTGTGTGAGTCTATGGATCTGTGTGTGAGTCTGTGGGTCTCTGTGTGAGTCTATGGGACTGTGTGTGAGTCTATGGGTCTCTGTGTGAGTATATGGGTCTCTGTGTGAGTCTATGGGTCTCTGTGTGAGCCTATGGGTCTCTGTGTGAGTCTATGGGTCTGTGTGTGAGTCTATGGGTCTCTGTGTGAGTCTGTGGGTCTCTGTGTGAGTCTATCGGTTTGTGTGTGAGTCTATGGTTTTCTGTGTGAGTCTATGGGTCTCTGTGTGAGTCTATGGGTCTCTGTGTGAGTCTATTTGTCTCTGTGAGAGTCGACGGGCCTCTGTGTGAGTCTATGGGTCTCTGTGTGAGTCTATGGGACTCTGTGTGAGTCTATGGGTCTCTGTATGAGTCTATCGGTTTGTGTGTGAGTCTATGGGTCTCTGTGTTAGTCTATGGGTCTATGTGTGAGTCTATGGGTCTGTGTGTGAGTCTATGTGTCTCTGTGTGAGCCTATGGGTCTCTGTGTGAATCTATGGGTCTGTGTGTGAGTCTATGGGTCTCTGTGTGAGTCTATGGATCTCTGTGTGAGTCTATGGGGCTCTGTGTGAGTCTATGGTTCTCTGTGTGAGTCTATGGGTCTCTGTATGAGTCTATCGGTTTGTGTGTGAGTCTATGGGTCTCTGTGTGAGTCTATGGGTCTCTGTGTGAGTCTATGGTTCTCTGTGTGAGTCTATGGGTCTGTGTGTGAGTCTATGGATCTGTGTGAGTCTATGGGACTGTGTGTGCGTCTATGGGTCTCTGTGTGAGTATATGGGTCTCTGTGTGAGTCTATGTGTCTCTGTGTGAGTCTATGGGTCTCTGTGTGAGTCTATGGGTCTCTGTGTGAGTCTATGGGGCTCTGTGTGAGTCTATGGGTTTGTGTGTGAGTCTGTGGGTCTCTGTGTGAGTCTATGGGTCTGTGTGTGAGTCTATGGGTGTCTGTGTGAGTCTATGGGTGTCTGTGTGAGTCTATGGGTCTCTGTGTGAGTCTATGGGTCTCTGTGTAAGTATATGGGTCTCTGTGTGAGTCTATGGGTCTCTGTGTGAGTCCGTGGGTCTGTGTGTGAGTCTATGGGTCTCTCTGTGAGTCTATGGGTCTATGTGTGAGTTTATGGGTCTCTGTGTGAGTCTATGGGTCTCTGTGTGAGTCTATGGGTCTCTGTGTGAGAATATGGGTTTCTGTGTGAGTCTATGGGTCTCTGTGTGAATCTATGGGTCTGTGTGTGAGTCTATGGGTCTCTGTGTGAGTCTATGGATCTCTGTGTGAGTCTATGGGTCTCTGTGTGAGTCTATGGTTCTCTGTGTGAGTCTATGGGTCTGTGTGTGAGTCTATGGATCTGTGTGAGTCTATGGGTCTGTGTGTGAGTCTATGAGTCTCTGTGTGATTCTATGGGTCTCTGTGTGAGTATATGTGTCTCTGTGTGAGTCTATGGGTCTCTGTGTGAGGCTATGGGTCTCTGTGTGAGTCTATGGGGCTCTGTGTGAGTCTATGGGTCTGTGTGTGAGTCTATGGGTCTCTGTGTGAGTCTATGGATCTCTGTGTGAGTCTATGGGTCTCTGTGTGAGTCTATGGTTCTCTGTGTGAGTCTATGGGTCTGTGTGTGAGTCTATAGATCTGTGTGAGTCTATGGGTCTGTGTGTGAGTCTATGAGTCTCTGTGTGATTCTATGGGTCTCTGTGTGAGTATATGTGTCTCTGTGTGAGTCTATGGGTCTCTGTGTGAGGCTATGGGTCTCTGTGTGAGTCTATGGGGCTCTGTGTGAGTCTATGGGTTTGTGTGTGAGTCTGTGGGTCTCTGTGTGAGTCTATGGGTCTGTGTGTGAGTCTATGGGTGTCTGTGTGAGTCTATGGGTGTCTGTGTGAGTCTATGGGTCTCTGTGTGAGTCTATGGGTCTCTGTGTAAGTATATGGGTCTCTGTGTGAGTCTATGGGTCTCTGTGTGAGTCTGTGGGTCTGTGTGTGAGTCTATGGGTCTCTCTGTGAGTCTATGGGTCTCTGTGTGAGTCTATGGGTCTCTCTGTGAGTCTATGGGTCTCTGTGTGAGTTTATGGGTCTCTGTGTGAGTCTATGGGTCTCTGTGTGAGTCTATATATGAATGTTGAACTTCTTTCGCACCGCACGTAGCCAACCGCGCTCATCGGATGTTTGACGAGAGTTTAGCGTCTGCAACATTCGCCGTCGAATATGTCTGTGACCGTTTAACTTGAACGCCGTTGGGGGGGGGAGGGGACCCGTTCATCCTTTACTTTCAGGTCCGATTCGTGAACAACAACTGGGTGTTCGGCAAGACGATGTGTCACGTGAGCCGCTTCGCTCAGTACTGCTCGCTCCACGTGTCCACACTCACGCTCACGGCCATCGCGCTCGATCGATATCAGGTAACAACGCCGCTTGAGCAGCACACACTACACAAAGACAAAGGTCCCCCGTATAGCCTTCACAGACGATTGGGGCAAGTGCTGGTTGAGCAGCACGCACTACACAAAGGCAAAGAGCATCCGTATAACCTTCACAGACGATTGGGGCAAGTGCTGGTTGAGCAGCACACACTACACAAAGGCAAAGATCCCCCGTATAGCCTTCACAGACGATTGGGGCAAGTACTGGTTGAGCAGCACACACTACACAAAGATAAAGATCTCCCGTATAGCCTTAGACTATTGGGGCAAGTACTGGTTGAGAAGCACACGCAACATAAAGACAAAGATCCCCCGTATAGCCTCAACATACTATTGGGGCAAGTGCTGTTAGCGAGCACCTATGAAGGCGGGCACTGTGACACACGAGGGTGTTAGGTGGCCAGCGCGACCGCCTTTGTCTCCCTAGCAGCGATGTTTACTACACACACTGACACACGCATGCTGACACACACACACTGACACACGCATGCTGACACACACACACTGACACACACACGCTGACACACACACACTGACACACACACTGACACACACACACGCTGACACACACACACTGACACACACACTGATACACACACGCTGACACACACACTGACACACACACTGACACACACACGCTGACACACACACGCTGACACACACACGCTGACACACACACACTGACACACACACGCTGACACACACACGCTGACACACACACACTGACACACACACGCTGACACACACACACTGACACACACACACTGACACACACACGCTGACACACACACACACTGACACACACACACTGACAAACACACGCTGACACACACGCACTGACACACACACACTGACACACACACTGACACACTCACACACGCTGACACACACACGCTGACACACACACACTGACACACACTGACACACACACACTGACACACTCACACACGCTGACACACACACTGACACACTGACACACACGCACTGACACACTCACACACTGACACACACGCTGACACACACACGCTGACACACTCACACACTGACACACACACTGACACACACACACTGACACACACACTAACACACACACGCTGACATACACGCTGACACACACACTGACACACACACACTGACACACACACTGACACACACACGCTGACACACACACACTGACACACACACACTGACACACACACACACACTGACACACACACGCTGACACACACACACACTGACACACACACACTGACAAACACACGCTGACACACACACACTGACACACACACACTGACACACACACTGACACACTCACACACGCTGACACACACACGCTGACACACACACACTGACACACACTGACACACACACACTGACACACTCACACACGCTGACACACACACTGACACACTGACACACACGCACTGACACATTCACACACTGACACACACGCTGACACACACACGCTGACACACTCACACACTGACACACACACTGACACACACACACTGACACACACACTAACACACACACGCTGACATACACGCTGACTCACACACTGACACACACACACACTGACACACACGCTGACACACACACACTGACACACACACGCTGACACACACACACTGACACACACACACACTGACACACACACGCTGACACACACACTGACACACACACACACTGACACACACACTGACACACACACACTGACACACACACACTGACACACACACATTGACACACACACACTGACACACACGCTGACACACACACACTGACACACACACACTGACACACACACGCTGACACACACACATTGACACACACACACTGATACACACACACACTGACACACACACATTGACACACACACACTGACACACACACATTGACACACACACACTGACACACACACACATTGACACACACACACTGACACACACACACACTGACACACACACTGACATACACACGCTGACACACACACACTGACATACACACGCTGACACACACACATTGACACACACACACTGACACACACACACTGACATACACACGCTGACACACACACATTGACACACACACACTGACACACACACACACTGACACACACACTGACATACACACGCTGACACACACACATTGACACACACACACACTGACACACACACACACTGACACACACACTGACACACACACACTGACACACACATTGACACACACACACTGACACACACACACACTGACACACACACGCTGACACACACACACTGACACACACACACACTGACACACACACACTGACACACACACACACTGACACACACACGCTGACACACACACACTGACACACACACACACACTGACACACACACTGACACACACACACTGACACACACACGCACGCTCGCGACGCCCGAGTGTTGGGGGGTGGGAGGGGGCTTGTGGGGGAGGAGTCAGGGCGCAGCCACGACTCTAACCGCGGCGCCCAATATTTCAATAACTTGAAATTGATTCTAAACATCAAACAAAAATTCGTTTTTACCCTCGGATATCTTGCCTCGGCAATGGGATCGGATTCTAATTTTCCACAGTTTATTGTTTTGCTAAAAACTGCAACAACAACACAAACATCTCCCTTTATCGGGAGAGACGAAATCAGTCAAGAGACGCGATACCCCCCCCCCAGCCCCCCGGGGTTCCCCTGTGAAGTCTCCTCCTGCCCAGCGCGGACCGCCTTTGTTTCAAAGCTGGCAACGGGACGCTTAAAAGTGACCGGTGCGTGTGGCCACCGATCCTTGAGATCCCATCGGATCGGGGAACATCGTCAGCCGGCGACGGCGGGAGACGGAGCCGCAGATGCACAACAGTGGCGGAGCCAGGGGGAGTGACAGGGTAGACAATTGTCACCCCCGACAAAAAATAAAAAAAATCGAAAATCTGAAACATTCTGCGTATGAGTGTACGACACTCGGTCTGGCGGACTCCGTGCAACTGCATTGTCAGAGTGTGTCGCCAACCGATGGCGTCTAGTTCAACAGCCTGACTCTCTAATCATTCTTGAAATTAACATTTGTTGAATGTCACCCCGGGCTGAAAATCCTGGCTCCGTCCCTGATGCACAAGCCAAAAAAAAATCTAATTTGTAACTCCTCCTTTCAACTATTATATAGGGATTTTGTTTGGGGGTGAGATGTTGTAAATATATAAATGTGTCGTTAAACCCGCCACCACCCGACACAGCCAACTGGTAAGGGTTGTCACGTAGACAGAACGTGGCCAACTCGTTACTAGTACAGCACACCGGTGTGTTGGAGAGCGAAGCCACAACATTCACAATCTGAGTACGACGTTTCGCCAGTAAATACAACCAGCTTCATCAGGCGACAGCCAGATTTGTGGAGAAGTCCTCCACCTGTTTCGTTCCTTACATATAGAGGAGGCATAGATGTGGTGACCACGCTCCTGCGCTCTTGTGCAATGTGGTGGGGGGTGGGATTAATGAGTCAACGTACATTATGCATGCGCATTATGCGAGCCCATTGAACTTTTCAACTAACCTTCCTCCTACTCAGTCGAACTTAGTCGCGGTGCGTTTCAAAGTGTCGAATTGCTGAGCTCTTTATCATCACTGCTATTATTGATGTGCTTCAGATCAACTCTTCTTCAAGGAGGTTCCCGCCAGGTTTTCGGAGTAGGGGAGGGGGGAGGGCGCGGGGCGATGTTGCTACGTATAAACTAAAAAACTCAAACTAAACAATTTATTTTTTTATTCTACCAGGCGAGACCCCACTGAGCGATACAGCTCTTTTTCAGAAGCCAACCTGGCCACAAATGATAGCCCAACGAAGTGGCTTGTCATCATCGTGTGGAGCTTTACAAGCAGCCAAATACTCAATAACGCGTGCTGATGTTGATTCTAAATGCGGAGGGGAAAAACCGGAGGACCCAGAGAAAAATCCACGCGACCGCGGGGAGAAAGACACGCAAACTCCAAATATACCGGCATCAGGGTCGGGATCTAACCCACGACCTCCTGCATACAAGGCGAGGTAGTTAACATCTGCTAGCCACCGCGGTGCTAAAATTGAATGAATTGCATGTCACCTTTCAGCACCGGCATATTTTGGACAATTCCGCTTGTATTGTGTGTGTGTGCTTTATGGGTAGGAAACCGGAGATTCCAGAGGAAACCCGTGCAGAGCAGGGGGGAGAACACGCCAAACCCCACACAAAAGCGCGGCCGATGCAAGGAATCAAACCCCCCCCCGGGCCCTCCTTGCTGCGAGGCGCGTGTGTTACCGCGTGACGGGGGGCCTTGTTGTTCCTTGCAGGTCATAATGCATCCGCTCAAGCAGAGGATGTCCATTCTCAAGGGCATCCTGTGCGTCGCCATCATCTGGGTGCTGGCCACCGTCTTCTCTCTGCCGCACGCCGTTTTCCAAAAGATATTCCGCTTCCAATACAGGTACTGGAGGGAACGGGGAGGGGGGGGGTTATGGGGGGTTAGGGAGGGGGGGTTGGCGGATCACCGCACGGACATCGGGGAACTCCCTTCACGAGGTGCCGTTACTCCCGGCTCGCCAGGCAAAAGGGCGGTGCCATCCGCTTGCATCTGTGCGGAGATGTAGGGATGTTGTCCGCCCGCATGCGCTCACGGGCTCGCGGGCTCTCTCCGGGCGCTCCGGGTGTCCTCGCGCTTGCGAATATCTCTCGACAGCAACAAAGACCCCCCCACCCCCCACCATGGTGGCAGGACTCTCCCGAATGAAATAGTCCAACGACTGACTCAGCGTGGCTCACCCGGACACGTAAATCATTGATGACATGTGGTGTTATGATTATAGTTACAGTTGACTCTCGGTTATCCGGTTGTTCCGATTTGCGGATTAACCGCACACCTGAGATTTTATTTACAGATGCTTACTTGAAACCGAATTCCCACCACCATCCATCCCAGAAGAACTGCCTCATCAAGACTCTATACCATAGAGCCCAATGCATTTCCGACCAGTAACACATTACCAGTGAACTCAAGCACGTACACCAGGCTCTCAGGGCTAATGGCTACTCCGACTACACAATCCGCAAAGCCATCACTCCAGTCATGAAGAAGGATCCTCTTGTGGAGCCACTCAAAACCATCACCTTACCCTACATTGCAGGGGTCACTAAAAAGATCTCCAAAATCCTGAATAAACACAAGATCCAGGTCCGATTCAACACAGTACACAAAATCCGTGATTTAGTTCCATCTGTAAAAGATGCTCTTCCAGACATACAGTACCCGGGCGTTTACAAACTAAAGTGCCTCTGTGGTAGTAGCTACATTGGAGAAACCAAAAGACATATCTCGGACCGCATCCGCGAACATAAAGCAGACTTGAAACACGGTAAGACGAACTCCTCTGCCGTGGCAGATCACTGTTACAATTCAGTGGGCTCACATGACATTGACTTCTCCAAGACGGAGGTTCTTTGCAAACCAACCGGCTACCATGAGAGATTCGTTCATGAGGCCATTCACATATACAAGCACAGAGACAATTTCAACCGAGAAGATGGATTCAGGCTTAGTAACCACTGGAAAGATGTGTTAAATCATTTCTGTTCTTAATTAATTGTAATTTTACGATGACCTTCAGACCGCAGCTCTTTTGCCAGCATTGCCTCTTAATACCTCTCACACCACGGTTAATGGTATGGTTTACAACATGGAGTATACTAGGGCCTCGCAGCTGTCTCTCTCCCCCTCCTCTGTTCCGACCATGGACGAACTCGTCCGTCTGAACGGGGCCCGTAGCTATCCGTGGTGCGGAAATTTGAGGGTAAGAATCCACCCATTTTTTCGCCATATAGCATTGTGATATATAACGACTTATGGTTGGTAGCTTAGCTGATTGGAGAATATAGAGTTTATTGATAACATGAAGGTAATTTATATTTTAGTTTTTATTGGTTCACTATATAGTACTGTGAATAGCTCAGATGTGTAGTCATTTCTGTGACCAGTCACTAGCAAATCACTCAGTTATTTCAATGCTAAATTCGCCTAGTTATTTCAATGCTAAATTATCCTGTTTGATTTGTACTAAGTGCCTCGGTGAATGTGTATGCTCTGACTTCAACGTAGCTATTTCTGTAGCAGTTACAAGCGAATCACTCAGCTATTTCAATGCTAAATTCTATGCTAATTCCATTGTCAAGGGGTGCCTCTGCGGATGTGTATGCCTTAACTTAGCTATTTCAATGCTAAATTCTATGCTAATTCCTTTTAACAATGGGTGCCTCTGCGGATGTGTATGCTTTAACTTTTAACATAGCTATTTCTGTGACCAGTCACAAGCTAATCATTCAGCCATTTCAATGCTAAATTTTATGCTAATTCCTTTGTCAAGGCTCTTTGTTCCTCTCACACAGCTTAAAAGCCGTGATCTGAACGTGGCTCTCTCACTCCAGCGCTGTCCTACCAGACAGTCTCGCCCCCTTCACCTGATGATGGCCGCTTGTGTTGTGGCCGAAACGTCGTGAGAATATTATTGTGTTATTTTATTTTATCAATTTATTATTTTATTCTCATTCTACGTGACTTTACCGAAAGAACCAAAGAAGAACCTGAGATTTTGTCATTAATTAATAACTCGTGGATTTTTCCCTTTGAGCCCAAATAAATAATTCTAAAAACGGTTATACATTGTTATTCTTGTAAATGTTTATTGCAAGTCACGTGCTTAACCGAACAAAAATGTGGCTCCGGTTAATGCAAAATCCACGTGATCACCTTTACAGTACAGTAGTTGCATATCTTGACAACAGTGGGTGGTGGAGTTTGATTTTTCCTTTGAGCCCAAATAAATAATTATAAAAACGGTTATACATTGTTATTCTTGTAAATGTTTATTGCAAGTCACGTGCTTAACCGAACAAAAATGTGGCTCCGGCTAATGCGAAATCCACGTGATCACCTCTACAGAACAGTAGTTGCCTATCTTGACAACACTGGGTGGTGGAGTTTGATTGATTTTGTTTCGCGTGGTTCTGTTGTCCACTTAGTGTGCCGAGTCTTCTGCGTGGGAGCAGGAAAATGTTACACGATGTAACACAATTTTTAATCCTGGGTAGTAAGTGCTATTTCATAATTGCTTATGCCTAAAGGTATAGAAAATGGCTATTATCCCTCACAAACTTAGTTTTTTTTTACGCCCAAAACCTCTCAGATATGGGATTTCTCATTGCCGCCACGTGTACAGCTCTCTCATCCACGTACGCCTCTTGTCTGTCTCTCAGTGTCGTTCATCCCTCCAGACGTGGCGTGATGTTATCTTGCTTGCCCGGTATGCAGCAGGTCATGGGTTCGATCCCGACACTGGCGCTTGCTGTATATTTGGAGTTTGCGTGTCTCTCTCTCTCCCTCATCATCATCACGGTGGCTGGGAGATGTTGACTACCTCGCCTGGTATACAGGAGGTCGTGGGTTCGATCCCGACCCTGACACCTGCTGCTGCTGTATATTTGGAGTTGCTTGTCTCTCTCTCTCTCATCATCATCACGGTGGCTAGGAAATGTTAACTACCGCGCTTGGTTTGGAGGATGTCGTGGGTTCGATCCCGACCCTGACGCCTGCTGCTGTATATTTGGAGTTGCTTTTCTCTCTCTCTCTCTCATCATCATCACGGTGGCTAGGAAATGTTGACTACCTCGCCTGGTATGCAGGAGGTGGTGGGTTCGATCCCGACCCTGACACCTGCTGCTGTATATTTAGAGTTTGTGTCTTTCTCTCTCTCCCCGTGGTCGCGTGGAATTTTTCTCCCCGGGTTCTCCGGTTTTCCCTCCACATTTATAAACGTGCATTGAGATTTTATTTCGATTATTATTTTGGCTGCTGTAAATGTCCAAATGATGGGCCGCTTTGTTTAGCTATCATTTGTGGCCAGGGCGCTTCTGAAATATACATTCATACCTCAGTGGCCATTGCCTGCTAGGATGGGGATGGTTTAGTTGTATTTGTTTGTGTTTGGGTGATTATTTATCCTTCTTGTACTATGCACTACTATCAAGTTTGTGTTTTGTTTGTTGCAGTAACGTTCTGACCCGCCCCGACCAGACATACGTGAAAAAGAGCTTAATAGCTCGTCGGATTCCTCCAACTTGACGGCCTTTTGTTCCGTGCCATTTGCCAGAGGCGGTGTTTTGTGATTCGTACGACGACAGTGTGATGTGCGATTCATGAATAGGAGTATCTTCTTTGGGGAACGTTGTTATCTTACTTTTCAAAATCAAGTTCCATTTTTCAACAGCAATCCATTCTGCTCTCTCTCTTTCTCTCTCTGGCGTCCTTACAGTGAGGGAAAAAAGTATTTGATCCCTTGATGATTTTGTACGTTTGCCCTCTGACAAAGAAATGATCAGTCTATAATTTTAATGGTAGATTTATTTGAACAGTGAGAGACAGAATAACAACAAAAAAATCCAGAAAACGCATGTCAAGTATTTGACCCCCTCTCTATCAGCGTGTATATACATGTATTTGCATTTTAATGAGGGAAATAAGTATTTGACCCCCTCTCTATCAGAAAGATTTCTGGCTCCCAGATGTCTTTTATACAGGTAACGAGCTGAGATTAGGAGCACACGCTTAAAGGGAGTGCTCCTAATCTCAGCTTGTTAACTGTATAAAAGACACCTGTCCACAGAAGCAATCAATCAATCAGATTCCAAACTCCACCATGGCCAAGACCAAAGAGCTCTCCAAGGATGTCAGGGACAAGATTGTAGACCTACACAAGGCTGGAATGGGCTACAAGACCATCACCAAGCAGCTTGGTGAGAAGGTGACAACAGTTGGTGCGATTATTCGCAAATGGAAGAAACACAAAAGAACTGTCAATCTCCCTCGGCCTGGGGCTCCATGCAAGATCTCACGTCGTGGAGTTGCAGTGATCATGAGAACAGTGAGGAATCAGCCCAGAACTACACGGGAGGATCTTGTCAATTATCTCAAGGCAGCTGGGACCATAGTCACCAAGAAAACAATTGGTAACACACTACGCCGTGAAGGACTGAAATCCTGCAGCGCCCGCAAGGTCCCCCTGCTCAAGAAAGCACATATACATGCCCGTCTGAAGTTTGCCAATGAACATCTAAATCAGGGGTCGGGAACCTTTTTGGCTGAGAGAGCCATGAAAGCCACATAATTTAAAATAAATTTCCGTGAGAGCCATATAATATTTTTTTAACACTGAATACAACTAAATGCGTGTATTTTTAACTAAGACCACCAATTTTAGAATCTAATGAGTCTCTGAATGTATCCTTTTTAATAACGTTGTTATACCAACAACCAATGATAAATAAAATACTTCTTACCATTAATGCGACTTCTGGTGCTGCATGGTTTTGCTGATGGCATTGTAGTCTGATTGATACGTGGTGAGGTTAAGCTTCATGCAGGCCTTGAGGCTTTCATCC